CTAAACAAAAAAATACAACCAAAGCCCCCCCCAACAGGAAAAAAAAAAAAAAAAGTTCTCAAAATATCAGCATCCTTCCTCCTCTCCAGCGTAAGTCAGCTCTGCAGCAGCTCAGAAACAGCAAGAGAAATTAAAACGAAGGTGTGCAGAGACACACGCCGCAGACCAGCAGAGGGAGCCCCATTTGTTCCAATTGCTCATAGAGGAGCTTAAATACAAAAACTGGTGGGGTCTTTTTTTTAACCCCACGCTATTCCAAAGAATGGCTCACACACACACACACACACACACCACACACACACAAAAATCCAATCTGCCTCAGTTGCCAGAAGGAACTTCAGTGCTGAGTTGCAGTGACGTACACCCAAAGGCTTTGAGCCTCCGCCTGAAGCACCAGCGACTAGGTAGCAAAAGTCTGTTGTTTTATTTCTCCAAAACGAGGGAGAAAACAGCCGTTTTTCCTGAGCTCTGGTATGTGAGTCCCAAATGTAAAAGGAGGACACTTACCACACGACACGTACACAGCATTCCCCTGTCTGCCTCTAGGCACACAACAAGAGACGTTGCCTTCTCAGACTGCCTTTCCAACGCAGTCTGATCCACTTCAGACATCACAACAGAAACCAATTTTAAGAAAGCTCTGAAGTATTTCTCAGTGTGTGGCCATATCCAGGTAGGTTGACTAAACCTCAGTATGGAGAAAAACTCCTCAACTTAAACTAAATGAAAAGAACTACTCTCTTATTTTTCTTGCCAAACACGTGCAAGACACTAGGAAGCAGGACTTCTATCAGAACAGAGGGTTCTGCCCTATTATCTTTCGGGCCCGGAGGAGGAGGGAGGAAGCCAACAACAACAAAACATCGCTGTACGCTAGCAAGAATGCAAAATACACAATACACACTGCTACATACAACTGCAGAGTTTTACTCACTTCCTTGGTGGTTCTTCATCTTCCTGAAACTCGCTCTCTTCTTTCACTTCTACTTTAATCTCTTTCTGTTTCTCTTTTTCCTCCTTCCCCTTGCTAGCTTTTCTCCTTTGCTTTGGTGCTTCCCTACAAAGATATAAGTACAACGTATTACTCCAATACTCTTCCAGTTGTCTGCTTTTTACAAAGATTTAAGCAAAAAGCTGGATCGAAGTTCAGGTCTATTTATCAAGTCCCCCTTCCAAGCAGAAGCATGAGCAAGGATTAAGGAAGAACCTGGCAGCCGAGCAGGGCTCTAAAGGCTTTAGTCCGTTAGAGAAAACGGTCCCAATAGCTGTAGGCAAAATTTAGAAATCACTGTGTCCAATGGAAGCCACTCCACTTCAGCAACGAGCACAGGTTCTTTGGGTTATACTAAGTTCATTCAACTAAGATGTCACTTTTTTTGTGTGTGTCTAAAACCACACTAAGTACATAATCCAATATACTTCTCTAGATGGGGCTTGTAGGTTTCATCTCTTGGGTCATCTTTGAAGGGAACTTCTTCCTCACTGATGAGCATCTCATCGTCATCATCGCTCCTGGGAGGAAAGGAGAACAGGGGACTTCAGCAGCAACAGCTTATGCACTACTGCAAGAATACTCATGCCCCATCCCCTAGGACGGGACAGACACTATTACACAGCACTTTCTCACCCGGCATGACTGGGGAAAGCTAACAGCTTGCACTAACAAAGGAGCGCGACGGCAGCCAAAACAGGCTGGGCAGAGCAGTCTCCTCCTGTGAGCCCACCTAACTACAGCACCCGCTCCTGCAGCGGAGAAGCCACCAGCTGAAATGCCCACATAAAACCTTACTATCCGTTTCTCCACGGTATCTCCTGACATCTGCAGTCCAGAGTGAAAATGCAGAGGTCCAGGACTGAAGGAAAACAGAGCTACTGTCCGTCCCATAGATCCTTTCACAGAAGCATTTATTTTGAAAAAAACCTGGGCCCTTATTTTCCCTTCTTGAGACCCTAAACAGGAAGAAACATCACAAAATAATGAGTTTCCTACCTGACTCCAGCTGGAGACTGATGCTCTTCTGTGACCACTGAAAGGAAAAGTCACCATTAGGTTTCAATCTGTGTTCGCTGCAGTGAGCTCATCTGTCTCAAGATACCTCCGTCGACATTCAGTGCCAGGAGTGCTGGTGGCAGAAGGTACTCATGACCAAGCGGCACCACGCCTGTACCAGCCACAGTGCGTACAGCTCACAGCGCTACACCCACACCCAGCTCCCCGCAAAGCTTCCCAAGACCTGACTATCTCCAGGCTCTTTCGCGCCAGGGCTTCCCACATACCGTATTCAATCTGGTCTGTGTTTGGCTCCGACTTGCAGACGAGCTGCAGGGAACCAGTCTTGGATCTGGAGGCACGCGAATTCTCCGTGTCACGCTGGCGGGCGGCAGCGGCTGACCTACTGCTGCGCCAGCTTCTGCTGGGTCTGCTGACGGGAGAGCCGTGGCTGAGGACACTGGAAACGTCCTCCTCTTCCTTCTCTTCTTTGGGATCTGAAACACCCATTGCAATCCCTTCAGTGACAACAAAAAGCACAAATCCCATCGTTAATTCACACCCCTCTCCGTGCCACCACACTGGATAGCGTGACTGCCCCTGTCCGCTCTGCGGGGAAACCGCTGCCTCTTACAGAGGCGGAGTGCAGCTCTGCCGAGCCAGACGGGACACCCCAGGGCCGCCCCTCAACAAGCCTTCAGTGAAAATCCCAGCACATTTCCTACTGCCTCTAAGTAAAGACACAAATATTTAAAAACAGCTTGCATTTCCCCCTGATAACGGCTTATAAGTTGATTACGTGCTGGCTCTGACCTCCCCTGAGCACTACAAGACAGACAGCCATAAACCTCAGCAACTCTTTATGACAGAGTAGCTTCAAAATTGGACCGTGTTAAAAGTCGTGTTTGAAGAATCCCCCGAACATGTATTTAATCAGAATTGTACACCTGGTAACAACCCTGAGGAATCCAAGCCGGATGTTTCTGGTCTCATGCTAGAGCAAAACGCATCACGAGCACTGTCAGCCCGAGGTCTGCACGCTCGTTTATAGCTTCTACAGGTGGTTCTTTTTTAGCTGATGGCTGACCTCCAGATATGTTTCGGCAAGATAGCAGAACTGGCTAAAATGTCTCCATGAGCAAGGTCACCCCTTAAAAACTAAAATTCCCAAGTACAGTTCACTCGATCTCACGTTTCGGTGCTTGCTGTGACACTGGGCCTTACGGAACTCAAACGCCTTTTGAAATGCCACAACTGATGTCCTGAAGAAACGAGTTCCGAGTAGCTGACTAGGCTCAGCACTCCAGATCTGCCACCGCTCCAGCAGACAGAGCCACCCGCAGCGCTCCGCAGGGCCTGCGCTCCAGGCTAAGCTCTGACCCACTCCTTTTTCCCTAAACACAGTTTCACCGCTGTCCAGTTTCAGGTGGGGTTCTGCTGCCCACGCGCTCGCCAGCAGCACCACCGCGACGCCCGGGGCTTACCCAGCATCTGCTGGCAAAGGCAGCGGACAGTGCTCTGGGGACTGGCTGGGCAGCAGCTCCGCCACGCTGGGAGTCCCGGCGGAGAGCAGACTGCACACGGAGGGCCACCAGCGTGCCCTGGCAGCGAGGGAGGTCCACAGCACCCTGGGCGCCATTCACGGGACACTGTTAATCCATCCCCTTTACTCAGCACTCGTTAGACCACGTGTGGATTCCCCCTCCAGTTTTGGACCCCCACCACAAGAAGGCTGTCAACATGTTTGAGCGAGTCCAGAGTGGACCATGAAGACGGTTGGGGGCTGAAACACACAACCTGGGAGAAGCAGCAGAGGGGAAGGTGCTGGTTCAGCCCGGGCAACGGCGAACCCGGGGGGACACAACGGCAGTGTTACAGTGTACAGGTGGGTCGTCAAGCAGCACAAACCCCCTGGCTGAGGTGCAGAGCAGGCAGAGGAGGGGCAGTGGTCACCAACCGAAACAGGGAGGTCTGACTGGATACAGGAAAAGCATTTTTCCCCAAGAGGACAGCCAAGCGCTGGAAGAGGGGCCCAGCGAGGCTGTGCAGCCTCCACAGAACCATAGAATGGTTAGAGTTGGAAGGGACCTTTAAAGGCCATCTAGTCCACCCCCAGACACCTTCAACTAGACCAGGTTGCTCAGAGCCCCATCCAACCTGGCCTGGAATGTTTCCAGGGATGGCACATCCACCACCCTTCTGGACAACCTGGGCCAGTGTCTCACCACCCTTAGTGTAAAACATTTCTTCCTTATATCTAATCTCAGTCTCCCCTCTTTCAGTGTCAAACCATTCCCCCTCGTCCCACGGCTCCCCTCCCTGATCCAGAGTCCCCCCCAGCTCTCCTGGAGCCCCTTTAGGCACTGGAAGGGGCTCTGAGGTCTCCCCTTTTTCTCCTTCTCTTCTCCAGGCTGACCCCCCCCACCTC